CGCCACCAGCACCTCTGCAGCGACCATTTTGAGCCTTCCTGCTTCCAGTACCGCTGGGGTGTGCGCTACCTGCGGCCCGACGCCGTCCCCACCATCTTCCCCACGGTGAGCCCCTGGAAGCGTAAAGGTCGAGCTAGAACCCCCCCAGAAGGGTTCTAGAAGCATCTACGGGCTCCTCAGGAGGTTCTGGAAGCTCTCTGAGGGATGGTGGGTTGTTCTGGAGGGATCCAGAAGCTCCTTGGAGGGGATCTGGGAGCTCCTCAGAAGGGTCTAGAGGGTCTAGAAGGTTCTAGAAGCCCCCTCAGAAGGTTCTGGAAGCTCTCTGAGGGGTGATGGTTGTCCCAGAGGGTCCAGAACCTCCTTGGAAGGGTCCAGAAGCCCCCTCAGAAGGTTCTGGAAGTTCTTTGAGGTGTGATGGGTTGTCCCAGAGGGTCCAGAACCTCATTGGAAGGGTCCAGAAGCCCCCTCAGAAGGTTCTGGAAGCTTCTAGGAGAGGGAAGGGTCCACCTGGAAGAGTTTTGGAGCTCCTCAGAGGGGTCTTGAGGGATCTAGAAGGTTCTGGAAGGTCCTTCAGAAGGTTCTACAAGCAATTTAGGGGGTGGTGCGTTGTCCTCCGAGGGGTCCAGAAGGTCCTCCGAGGGGTCTGGAAGGTTCTAGAAGGTTCTGGAAGCTCTTTGAGGGGTGGTGGGTTGTCCTGTAGGGATCCAGAATCTCCTTGGAGGGGATCTGGAAGCTCTTCAGAGGGGTCTGGAGATTCTAGAAGCCCCCTCAGAAGGTTCTGGAACTCTTTGAGGGTGATGGGTTATCCCAGAGGGTCCAGAACCTCCTTGGAGGGGTCCAGAAGGTTCTGGAAGCCCCCTCAGAAGGTTCTGGAAGCGCTCTGAGGGGTGGTGGGTTGTCCCGGAGGGGTCCCAAACCTCCTCAGAAGGGTCTAGAGGTTCCCCTGAGGGATTTAGGAGCTCCCCGGAAGGCTCCGGAAGGCCCCCGGCATGGGGGGTTGTCACCTCGAGGTGGCTTTGGTCCCCAGAGCAGGAATTTTGGGGGGAGAACCCTGCGTCGCTGCACCGTATTGGGGTGAAAACCTCCAGAATTGGGGCTTTGGGGGTGATTTTTTTTGGGTGCTTTTCCTACAGAAACAAGAGAGCGCCAACGCCTCGCCGAGCCCCGCCCGGTCTACGCAGCCCC